GCCAGTCCTTGTCATTATTCATTAACACATAAAAACTTGTCCATTGGTACATTCTTGATATTCTTACCTCGACCGTGCTAAGCTGGTTGATACACTTTTGGAATGCTTAGCCCAACCATTCTAAACTGGTTGATGCATTCCTTGGAATGTTTATTCTGATTGTTCTAAATTGGTTGATACATTCTTTGAAAAGCTCACCCCAGACTAAAGTTGTTGATATATTCCTTGAAGGAAATGGGGATGATAGAATGGAGTGGCCTTAGGTGATAACAGTTGCCTCCACTATGCTAAATTGAACAATACATTTCTTGGAGAAGAAGAGGATTTGGCCGAAAGGAGTGGCCTGAACAATCACCAGAATTCATATCCTGTTAAATGATTTCAGCCACTAGAATTATGAAAGTAGCTCTTTCAGAGAAGTGGTCAAGGATACCTGAGAGCTTTATCAATACTTTCAGAGAAGTGGTCAAGGATACCTCAGAGCTTTATCAATACTTTCAGAGAAGTGGTCAAGGATACCTGAGAGCTTTATCAATACTTTCAGAGAAGTGGTCAAGGATACCTGAGAGCTTTATCAATACTTTCAGAGAAGTGGTCAAGGATACCTCAGAGCTTTATCAATACTTTCAGAGAAGTGGTCAAGGATACCTGAGAACTTTATCAGTACTTTGATTTTAAGGATGTAACATGAGTGCCTGCCTTTTCTTGTTGTTTGGGCTACTATGCTTAATATTAAAATGAAATATGAAGGTTAAAAACATAAAACCACTTTTACTATATGTTTATTTATGAGTGTACACTGTATAACCAATCATTGGCATTTCAGATCATCAGATGCTTGATTTACATAAAACAAGAAGTAAGGGAGGTTACTGATATTATTATACAAGAGTGATTTCCAATTGTATAAAATAATAACTTCTAATCAGAATAAGTTATGTATTTAGAGCAAAACTAAAAATTGACATGGCCATTGGTGTAGCTAATTAAGTATTCTTTTCTTACATTTCTATTTATAAAGGTTAATATGTACAGTAACAAACATTTAATTCTTCAACGTTTCAAAATATACTTTTTCCGTCTTCAGTAAATTGTAAATTATTAGGTACAGACATTTTATAAAGTTTAAACATTCTATAAAAAGTAATTATAATACAGAATAAAACTTTTAAATAAATTAAGAGACAACCAAATAAACAGAGAATAGGATAATGCAACAGTATTATATAAGTATTCAGAACAGACTTAATTGTAGCGAAGTTGTGTTATTATTTAAAGTTGGGAGTTCACTTATAATGGATAAACTTTCTTTAATTAAAAGTTCAATATTGAATGATCCAGAAGAGATGACTTTGAAAGTTGTAATCAAGACAGGGTGGTTAGTGTTTTCACTATGTGTGTGAATTATGGAGTTTGGTGGATTGGATAATTCTTTTACCAGTTCTGCTTGATACTCCCATATGCTTGCAGGTGTAATTGGCATTACAGCCACCACATGTATTTATATACGATACTGGAATGCATAGGGGTAGGTAATAGGTCTGTAGATTGGAATAGATTTTGTATTTTGAAAGTGATATAAATATCATTTGTAGCTGAATTTGTGGATAAAACGTTTTAATTATTTTTAAAATTTGTGACTTCACTATGAAACTTTACTTACCTAAAAAAGGAACAATCAGTCTTAATGGGTATTTATCAACAGTGTATAGTTTCTTTGGGGGGTTCAAATTTGTGATAATAGAACTAGTGTGTTAGGGCTTGAATAAAATGCATGGGATAGTTGTTGTTTACTAGAATATTCTGTAAGGTGGTGATTTCGGTATGAAAAGAGAGATAGTTATAACAGATGTTATATGCTCTATTGAGAAGGCTGAGAATAAGCTTACGTTTAAAGGAATTCATAATAAAACTTTCAAATTGAGTATGTAAGCCTGTATATGTTTTTTTACAATAAATGGATGTAGTGAAGTGGTTATCTAATCTGTTGATTTGTATATCAAGAAAAAGCAATTTACCATTGTTTTTAGGTTTACAAGTAAAATTAATGTTAGGGTGTTTTGAATTTAAATAATCTAAGAACTGTTTGATGTGAGTAAAGCTTTAAAAGAATAGAAACATATCATCAACATATCTTCTTTATAAAGCAGGTTTGTTTTCAGTGGGACAGGTGTCTAACCAGGAATGCTCATAGTGACAAAGAAATATGTTGGCAAGAGTTGGCCCTAAAGGTGACCTCATTGCAATGCCATCTATTTAGTCATATAGCTGACCGTTGAAGACAAAGTGGTTGTCCTTGAGGGCAAGTTTAAGTAATTCTTAGAATTGTTGGTGATTAAAGCTTGTATATGTTTCATTTTTGTAGGAGAAAAGTTTCTTTAAGATTATTTGTATCGTTTCATCAAGTGGAATGTTTGTGAATAAGGATTTAATGTCGAAACTAGCAAGTATATATTTATTGGCTTTATTAATATTAGAAATTTCTTGGACAAAGGAAAAGGAATCTTTAACTGTAAACTCATTGGAAGTGACTGATTTTAGAATAGGAATGAAGAATTTAGCCAATTTATAAGCATGGGAACTGATGATGGATAAAATGGGTAGGAGCCTGAGGGGTACATGTCTTCAAGAACATTTTTGAAATTTAATTGCAATGTTTGTAATTTCTTAAGGTTCATAGTATTTTTTCTTCATGTTTCATTGTGAACTTTAGCCAATCTACATTAAGAGCTTTGAATTTTGTTTTATCACTAAGTATACTTTGCATTTTGTTGATGTAATTCACTTTATTAAGTATGACAACACCTGTATCTTTATCAGGTAATCAGAGAATTTAAGTTTAGGGGGGAAGTAAGCAAAACTTTAGGCCCTTAGCTAGAGCACTTTTACATGGTTCCCTGAGTACAATATCACTGAAGTTAAAAATCATCTTGTTAGGATCAGTACTGTTGGTATTTTTATGTGGAATTAATTTATTCAGTTTAACATTCTGTTTGTGTTCCAGGTGGGTTTCAGTTTTTGTGTTAATATTGTTAATCAGGTTAAGCAGGTAGTTGAGGTCCATCTATGATATGTTATTTCTTAGTTTATTCTTTGCTGATTCATGTTGAATGCTAGAATGTTTCGTCTGTTTGAATTTCAACATCTTTTTCTAAAAGACAATATTGACATGAGAAATAGGCAGGAGATTTCTTAGATAACGGTTTGTAATTTTAAAGTAGAGGAATTGGGGGAAGACTTGATGGTGCTTGCAAGTTGTTAAGAATTGAATGTCCAATGATAATTTCTGGAGTTTGAGGTCAGTTTTTTTGAGTGAACAAAATAGCCATTGAGTATCATTCCCATAGCATTGTTTAATAACACTAGCAATAGATTTATTTGATGGGAATCAAAGTTTAATGATGAACAACAGAACAATGGCGGCAACAACGAACATTTGACACGTGTATGTTCAGTAACAAACATTTAATTCTTGAACGTTTCGAAATATACATATCCCATTTTCAGCAGACTATATTGAACATGGTAAGTTATTAGCTACATACATTTTATAAAGTTTAAACATTCTATAGCAATTAATTAAAATATACAATATAAGTATGAAATGAATTAAAAGACAATCAAATAAACATAGAATAGAATAATGCAACGATATTATCCAAGTATTTAGAACCTACTCCTATGCATTCCAGGATCATGTATAAATACATGTGGTGGCTGTAATGCCAATTACATTGGCAAAATTATACATCAATTACACCTGCAAGTCTGCAAACATATGGGAGTCTCAAGCAGAACTGGTAAAAGAATTATCAAATCCACCAAACTCCATAATTCGCACACATAGTGAAAACACTAACCACCCTGTCTTGATTACAACTTTCAAAGTCATCTCTTCTGGATCATCCAATATTGAACTTTTAATTAAAGAAAGTTTATCCATTATAAGTGAACTCCCAACTTTAAATAATAACACAACTTCACTTCAATTAAGTCTGTTCTGAATACTTATATAATACTGTTGCATTATCCTATTCTCTGTTTATTTGGTTGTCTCTTAATTTATTTAAAAGTTTTATTCTGTATTATAATTACTTTTTATAGAATGTTTAAACTTTATAAAATGACTGTACCTAATAATTTTTGGCTGTTGTGGGCAATTAATTATACACCTGTTTCACAGGAAACTCAGAAAGCATTCAAAGAATAATGTGATAGAAATCATTACCAATCTCTTTGTAATTTAATAAAACACTTCTTATTCATTACTTTACCAGGTTTGGCAATTTAACATTCTTTATTGTTTTCTTGGTGTATAGTTAAAATTAATCATTAAGTATCTCTTAGAATAAGAAGGATTATTAAAGATTTAAAGTAATTTGGAAGGATAAATAATTTGATTAGTTTTGTTAACAGTGACTCAAACATAGCTATATGTTGGAGATAAAATCTCTAAAATATTGATAAAGATAAATTAGTTTAATAATATTTTGTTAGGCTTATTTCATTAATATATTCTTTTTCATTGATTTAGTTGGGGAAGCAATGTCAAAGAGTTTGAATTACCTATCTAATATATCACGTGGTCGAAGAAAAACAGATATTACTCCAACCGTCCCATCTCCATGGGATCGCGGAAGGACTCCCACAAACACTCCTCCAGGGACTCGCCATACCAGAGCAGTCAGTATGTCACGTATTGATCATTTGACTCAAACTCGTCGCTCTCCAAGGGATGGTGTTGAGGAAAGCCCTGAACATTCCAGTAGTTCTAGCAAAGAGGAACGAGCAGAGATTGGCTTAAATAGCATACTTAAAAAACCTAGATCAGGTAAAGAGATATTTTTCTTACAGTCTAAAACAATTAATTATCTGAGCAATAACCAAGCATGAAGTTAAAATAATGATTGTTTCTTATTTGTAATAATACAGTTTACTAAAAGTAAAGCCCTCTGATATTTGTTGAAATACAGTAAATGAATAGTTAACCACATCAGTTGTCAAAGGATTCAGTAAGTTGAAATAACTATCAGTAGTCCTGTTGATTTGTGTTGATTAAGATGTACAACATTTAACAATGCTAAACTTGTGCAAAGAGTAAAACTGACAACAAAATAAAGCTTAGGAGCTGTTGTATGTGCTAAAAACTGTACAAACACTATAACTTGTGGAAAATTAAAGTTCAGAAGTTGTATTCTTATTTTGATTTCTTCGGTATTTTATCTGTGAGTTTTCTATGTAGAATTCACAGTCATTTGAGTTCATGTGAATGTAAAAAATATAACTTGTATTCATTAGAGTAGAAAGTTAACTTTTTGGCTTAATGTTATAGCTAAATGTCCTGCTCCTTATGTTCAAAGGACAGTGGTACTGAATAAATAACAAGACTGTCATGTAAATGTTAGCTTACATTGTTATTTTTATTTTTTAAAGCCATTAACAGTGTTTTAAGTTTTGAGTTGATACACACCTCTTCACACAGAAAGCTATCTTTCCCATGTATCTATCTGCCTTAGAGATTTGCATGCCACTAGCCTTTAGGCAACTCCCACCTAAACTCATGAGATTTATCATGATTTGCACTACTGCATAGTAATGTTATTATGCAGCAAAAGCCCTCCACCAATAGAAGAGTGACACAGCCTCCCTATTCCTCAGCACAAAATACCCCAGATCTGTTTTTCTTTGTCAATTTAATGGGACTTACAATGTTAAGGGAATTTAATTTTCATGTTTTGTTTCTTCAACCTATGAACACTAGTTCATGTAATGTCTTCTACTTTTTGTGTGAGTGACTAATTTCTTCACATAGATTGTGTTATAATAATGGCTTATGGAGACATTTTCCTTGGGTGGTGGCCATTGTGGATATAATAATGGGTTCCCTTATGCTGCCAAGTACTTCAGCTCCAATCTCTTCATCAGGTGTTCCTTACCCTCATTTGTGGGATGAATGAGGTGGATGAAGTTGATAGTTCTTTCACCTGTTTAGGCTTTGGAAACTTTTCTTCCTCTTGAAGAGAATCTTCAACTTTCACGCTTTCTTCATCTTGATTTATCAGACATGCACCATTCTTTTCTTTCCCCAGTATTATATTCTTCTGCTTGTTTCCTATTTCTTAATTCTTACCATTCCTTGACCACTTCCAATTCCAAGACTTTCAGCCTCTCCTTTCCTTTCTATCTGATTCTTATTTCTTCAATTTTAGTCATTCTCACATTTGGGATTGCCCTTTGCCTTTTGGAGTGGGGGGTGGTGGTCTTTTGGCATCGGTTTTGCCCTCAAGTTCTCAATACTCTTGTTATTTCCTGATCCTTTTTACCACACTTTTTCACCTCTCCTCTTTACCTTTCACATTTGAGGCACTCCATCGTGCCCCAGAGCATTTTGCGGGTGATTCTCATTCCCTTAACTATGGTTGTTCCCCTTCACCTTTTCCTACTCACTCACCTTCTTGTTACTTGACATTGTTGGATAGGGATTAGGGTTATATGTCCTCCACTAGCCCTTACTTTGACCTGAAGTTTGGAGATATTCCTGATTTGATTGAATCACAGGCTGTGCTGCCCATCATCAATCCTTGCTTTTGTAAGTTGCTTCCACATTGCTCCCAACCCTACCCTCCATGTATCTCTTCTTCATCCTTCCTTCACTGTCTTTTTGATTCCCAATTTCCTCTTCTACCTGGTGTCAGTCCTGTTGAGCTTGTCGGTTTCCATTGTGTAGAGTCCTGTGGGTGTCTAACTGTCATGGCTTGAGCTCCTGTCCACACAGGGACTTTTCTACTTTTTACCCTTGGACTTTCTACTTCCCTAACTGTCCTTCTTTCAGACCTGTTTTTGTTTTCTTTTCTCCTTCCACTCCCATCTCTGTCCAGCATTTCTTCAAAGCTTTGTTTGTCACCACTTTCACCAATTCCTCACTCCCAATAAATATCTTATTCACAGAGGAGGTGTTTATCCATACATTTTCAGCTGGAATTAGCCTCTTCTCATCTGTCTGTGAGCATTGGACTTTGCTATCATTAGGATTTGTGCCTGTCCTAATTGTTCTGCATGTGTGATTTTGTGTTTGGTGTTTATGGCTCTTTGGGTATTGCTTATTCCTTGAAGTCACATGCATATGCACCTGCTCAATTGATCCTTGTGCAACCAGTGGGATGCCTCACGGGATTCTTTGACCTCACTGGTTCTCCTATTCCTTCCTTCATTCTAATATTTGTATGGGTGGCTGGACTGATCTCTTTTCACCATTGGTGTTCCATTATGTCCACCTAATCTGGACTTATTACTCTTCACATATATTTACTCCTCACGTTGGGAAGCATCCTTGATCGTCTATTTTACATCTGTTACATGGACCTAGGATGAGTCCTCTCTCCATATCCATGAGCTTGAACTTATGGTACATTGTTGGGCATGGTACTATTGTTACCACTCCTAGTGGATTATTTAGTTATGTTCCATTTCCACACCTCCTTGATTTTTACTAACTAAACCACCATTGGGTAATTTGATCCAGTATCTCTTGCTTGTAGACTCTGAACCTTCCTCTTGAGCCTATTCTCAATTGATTGCTTTGCTTGCCATGTACCAGGTACTATGACTTGGTTGTGGACTATCTCTCTTGACTGGATTGTGTTCTGCCTGCAATATGTATCTTCTCCCCCTGTTTCCATAGGGGGGGGGGGTCTCTCTCTTGAGGATTCTACTCATCATTTCCCAGCCAACCTTCTCACTTTCATGCTTCCTCTTCTGATCATCAGTTCTCCATCCCTCGGCCATGGCTGTCACTGCCTTCTGCCTGGTCTGGTCTTTTACCTGTCATAATGCTCACCCACCTTGCACCTTTACCTTGGGTCTTGGCCTTAACTTGTGACACTCCTTATTGTCTCCTCTTGTTGGTACCCTCTGGCTGGCTTAACCTCGGTTCTCTGCCATCTGTCAACCCAATCCTCTCTTCCCCTGCCAGTTATACACTCATATTTCTACATCTACTGTCACTTTTCCATCACTGAATCTTGTCTTTCTACCTTCATGTTTGGTTTAGAACAGTCCTTCACCCATGGAACCAGACTTTACCATCTGTAATCATTTCCAATCATCATTCTGTCTGGTCCTTCTACCCATGAGGGTGGGGGGCTTTCGACATTGGTCCATATGTCACCACTTTACTCCTAATTGTTCTACCATCAGAAATATTTACCCTTTCTCAATCAGGTTGTTGAACAGGGTTCAGCTGTCTCCACCTTTGCTGATTACTGGGTGGCCTTGTCTTCAACATTTTGCTTGCTCAATACCGCATCATGTTTCCTCCCATTTTCTCCCCCTTATTCAGTTCCTTCCTTATCTATACACACATTTGCCTCATTCTCGTGCCTGACTGGGACTTCTGTGTCATCCTGTATGACCATTCAAGCTATTGGCAGCCTGCAACATCTACAGCCTTTTCTTCTTCTTTTTTCTTCTCACTTCTTTTGCTACATAATGTTATTATGCAGTAGCACAAATCACAAGAAATCTTATGAGTTTAGGTGGGAGTTGCCTAAAGACTAGTGGCATGCATATCTCTGAGGCAGATGCATGGGGAAAATAGCTTTCTGTGTGAGAGGTGAGTATCTATCAAAAATACATTTTCAGGTAAGGAAAATTTAACTTTAACTATAGGAGTTAAAAGATGTTTATCCAACAAATAAGTGAAGTTCTTGCATTTTTTTATTCCTATTAAATTAAAGTTTGCACCAGTACTGATAAAATTAATAACTTTGTTTATCAAGCTCATAAATTTCCAAAACAGGTAAAACTTCTATAACCTGAGATAAGATTTGTATGTATCCAGTTATATCAAGTTATCTCTCAAGAATGGATAACTAAAACCTGATGCTCTGTGTCAGAACCAGTGAATTTCAGATAATGTAAAGAATCAGAAGCCTAAATATCTTTTAAGCATAAATTTGGATAGTTGTTTTGGTATACAATAATTGAAGTTTTTGAGTGAACACTGCTAATACTTTGATAACCATCTACAGCAGCTAGAAAGATCATGCCGTCATCTCCCTCCCGATTGCAGGGCAGCATACAGAGCTCAAAACCAGCAGAAATGAAACAACAAACTCCTGTTACTCTCAGACCTCACAGCAGCCCACGACAACCACGTCCATACAGCATTGCTGGAACAAGACCAGCACATGGGGAATTATCTACAAATGCTTCTACTGGTAAGTTAACAAATGAAATAGAAGACTAATGTAATGGCCATCTACACACAGTTGTTTACAAGTATAGTGGTCATATATATATATATATATATTTATCTACAGATAAAAAGTGAAATTTTGGGTTATAATAATTTCTGTTCAGTGATACATAGATGAAACACAAGTATGGTGTAACAGTAATTTCTAAACAGAACTTGGTGTAATATCATTTACGTACATATACTTAAAGGTAGAACAATAACATAAGTTTCCAGTATTTCCCACATTTTTGTACAGGTTTAGGTAAAAACACAGAATGATAACCTTACTTATCTAAAAATATTGTGAGAAGTCATGTCATTTTGTATGAAATAATTCATTAGTTTTAATGTTAGAATTTTTGTAAAAGTAATTACAGTATGGTGGTTATATCTCTGGGAAATATGGTGTGTTATCTTTATTTGGGTAGAATTTGAATTTTTGTTATTGTGCATAATGTAATAAAAAAAACATGAAAGTAATGGAAGTTTAAAAGCTTATGTTAGTGAACTTTGAAGTTTAATAATTGTGTTAAAGTACTGGCTAAGAGAAAACATGTTTTTATGACAATAATAAAAAAAACACAATATTGTGTGTAGCAAGTAGAGAAAAACCACAGTAAACAGAACAAACTGTCAGAAGTTTGATATTAGAGAACCCAGTTGAATAAAATTACCTGAACTGAACATATCTTTGTCTGTTCCCATTCACACTTTTATCTCTCTTATCGAAATCTGTGTAAACACCATTGTACTTACCTGTCTTGGTCAGTATTTTAGACAAAAATATGGAATGGTCATGGGAAATCCACTGTCACCAATACTGTGCAAACTTTTCATGGAATATTTTGAAACTGAATTAGATTCTTCCATCAATATAAACCTTTCAAAAATTCTGTGGTTCCGATATATTGATGATATATATTTTGTGTGGCCAAACAAAGAAGTGATTTTGAAAGTGTTTTCAACAACCTTAATCAACTTCACCCAACTATCAAATTTAAAGTTGAATGGGAAAAGGATGACCAACTTTCTTTCTTAAATATTTTGATAACCAGAAGAAACACAAAACCAGTCCTCTCAGTATACTGTAAACCGACAGATTGATAACCAGAAAAAAACACAGAACCAGTCCTCTCAGTATACCGTAAACCGAAAGATTCTTTACGTTATGTTCATTTCT